ATGGTAATTATGATGATGACGATGACGATGACGATGACGATGATGATGATGATGATGATGATGATGATGATGATGATGATGATGATGATGATGATGATGATGATGATGATGATGATGATGATTATGATGATGATTATGATGATGATGATGATGCTGATGATGATGATGATGAGGAAGGTAGAGGAGGGAGAAGGATGGGGAGGGGGAGGAGGAGGAGGAGGAGGAGGAGGAGGAGGAGGAGGAGGAGAGGAGGAGGAGGAGGAGGAGGATGAGGAGTACAGTAGGAGTGGAGTGGAGGCGAGGTGGAGCGAAGGAGGAAAAGGAGGAGGAGGAGGAGGGAGGAGGAGGAGGAGGAGGAGGAGAGGAGGGGAAAGGAAGAGGATGAGGAGGAGGAGGAGGAGGAGGAGGAAGGGGAGGATGCGGAGCAGGAGCAGGAGTAGGATAATGACCCGGCGACTCCCGAGGTGAGCACGCCGCGCACGCCGCGGGCAGGCATGCTGCCCCCTCCTTCCTGCTCCTGCTCCTCCTCCTCCTCCTCCCTCCTCCTCCTCTCTCTCCTCCTCCTCCCTCCGCTTCCTCCTTCTCTTCCTCCTCGTCCTCCTTCCGCCTCCTCTTGATCCTTTTCGTCTTCCTCCTCTTTCTCCTCCTCCTCGCTCTGTTCACCTCTTCCTTCCTCTTCCTCTTCCTCCTCCTCTTCCTCCTCCTCTTCTCCTCCTCTTCCTCCTTCTCCTCCTGCTCTTCCTTCTCCTCCCTCCTCCTCTGCCTCCTCTTCCTCCTCCTCCTCCTCCTTCTACCTCCGCCTCCTCCTCCTCGTCCTTCTCGTTCTTCTCACTCCTTCCTCCTCCTCGTCCTCCTCCTTCTTCTCCTCTTCGTCTTCCTCCTCCTCCTCCTTCTCCTCCCTTCTCGTCCTCCTCCTCCTCGTCCGCCTTCCGCCTCTTCCTTCTCTTTTCCTCTTCCTGCCCCTCCTCCTTCCGCCTGTTCTCTTTTTCCTCTTCCTCTTTCTCCCTCCGCCTCTCCTTCCTCCTCATCCTGCTGCTTCTCGTCGTCCTCCTCCTTTTCCTCGTCCCCCTCCTCCTCCTTTTCCTCGTCCTGATCCCTCCTTCCTCCTCCCTGCTTTTCATTGCTTGGCGTTGCTTGATATTGCGTGGCATAGCTGAAGGTTGTTCGGCATTGCTTGGCATTGGTTGGCATTGCTGGGCATTGCCGGCATTGCTAGGCATTGCTTGGCATTTCTTGGCACGGTCTGCATTGCTGGGCGTTGCTTAGCGCTGCTTGGCATTTGTTGGCGTTGCTTGGTATTGCTTGACTTTGCTCGGTATTGCTTGCCATTGCGTTGCATTGCTTGGCATGTATTCGCGTGTTGTGCATTTCTGGACATTGCTAGGCATTGCTATGTGTTGCGTGACGTTGGTCGGCAATGCTTGCATTGCCTGGCAATGCTTGTCATTGCATGGCGTACATTGACACTACTCGTCAGTGCTGGGCATTACCTGGCATTGCAACGACCGGGGAACCCGCGGAAGCAGATCAGGGACGTCGAGGAACAGGGCAGCGGAACCCGGGAACGGACGACAAGGAGCACGACTGGGAGCGGAGGAAGGACTGGGGAGCCCATGGAACAATACCAGGGAACCCGAGGAACGCTTGGAAAAACCAAGGCCAGACATCCGAACAACGCTGGAGCCCGCCTCTGATAGCCACGTCGCACCAACTGGTTCTGTCAGAAAACAAGTCAGAGCCCCCTCGGCAAAGCCTTCTTGGGCAACACGCACTGTCCCTTGATCAGCATAACTGGTACACAGGCTTACACTTCTGGCCATGAGCTTCGAGCAACTCTCAAGCAGTATTACCATTTTGAGAATACACCGCCCTCGATCCGTGCAGCTGCTGCCTAGGTTGACGTTTCTGGTGTTTCATTTAAAGGAAATCTCAACCATTCTTCTGTCATTTTGAAACCAGGATATGGCCTCCATCTCTGTGACTAGTGCATACTGCGAATGTGCGTGGCGCTAAGGCGAGACGTCGGTGTTGAGAGAAAAGGACTGCTCTCCATCAATGTAGTTTTCGCTAGCGCTACACTTTGTAATTGAATTTGCGCTACGCTAAGACGGCGGCCCCATGTCGACCCCCCTCCATCCTTGTAGCGGTTGTAAGTTTTTATGACTGATGCGCGCGGCGCTGTGGCGAGAGCTCCATTTTGTAAATTACCCCCCTCCATCTGTGTATCCGATGCAAATGTCAAGCATCAGGATCATACTTTGCGAGGATGTCTGTGGCGACATGCCCAGCCCGCGAGGAGGAGGAGGAATATGAGGATCATGACGATGTTGAAGGGGATAAGGAGGAGGAGGAGGAGGAACATGGAGGGGAAGTCGGAGGAAGCGGAACAGGCCGGAGAAGTCGGTGGAGGAGGAGGGGTTGGATGAGGAGGTGGAGGGCGTGTGCGGAGGAGGACAGGAGCAGGTCCGATGAGGGAAGACGGGGTGCAGCCCCGCCAGAGCAGGCCCGGCACGGTACGGTCCATCCTCGCAGCGCGCGACGTGTTCCGCAGCCGCCCACATCGCGCGCCTGGCACCACCCTTGCCGTCATGCGGTCGCAATGCGCGCTCGCGAGGGCCTTCGTGCGAGCGCGGCGATGTTGAGGAGCAGGAGGACGAGGAGGGAGATGGCGAGAAGGTGGTGGGGAGTTGAAGGAGTTGGAGGATTATGTGGCCGGTGATGGTGATGATGGTAATGATGGTGTTGATGATGATAATGATAATGATGGCGACAATGATGATCTTGATGATGATGATGATGAAGACAATGTGATGCTGATGATACTGACGGTGATGACCCTGATTATGACGACGATGATGATGGTGATGATGGTGATGACGATCACGACGATGATGATGATGGTGATGATGATGGCGATGATGATGATGATGATGATGATGATGGTGATGCTGATGATGATGGCGATGATGATGATGATGAGGAGGATGAGGATGAGGATGAGGATGAGGATGAGGATGATGATGATGACCATCATCATACTGATAATGATGATGATGATAATGATGATGATGATGATGATGATGATGATGATGATGATGATGATGATGATGATGATGATGATGATGATACTGATACTGATGATGATGATGATGATGATGATGATTATGATGATGATGATGATGATGATGGTGATGACGATGACGATTATGACGCTGCTGTTGATACTGATTCTGATGATGAAGATGATGCTGATGATGATGCTGATGTCTATGCTGATAATGATGATGATGTTGATGATGCTGACGATGTTGATGCTGCTGCTGGTGGTGATGATGGCGATGATGATGGCGGTGGTGGTGATGATGATGGTGATTCTGATGCTGATGATGGTGGTGGTGATGATGATGATCATGACAGGATGATGATGCTATGATGAGGGTGCTGCTGCTGATCATGATGATATTCGTGATTATGATGAGGTAGTGGCGGTGATGTTGATAATGCTGCCGCTGCTGATTCTGATGCAACTGTGCTGATGGTGGTGTTGGTCGTGGTGGTGTGATGGTGATGGCGGTGGTGGCGATGATTTGATGATGACGACGGCGATGCCTACGACGATGACGATGACAACGGTAGCGATGCTGATGGTGAAGATGCTGCTGATGATGATGCTGATGATCTGCTGATTATGATGACGATGCTGATGATGACGCTGCTGTTGCTGATGGTGGTGAGGATGCGGATTATGATGAGGATTATGATGACGAGGATGGCGATGACGATGTTGCTGCTGATGGTGATGCTACTGATGATGATGATGATGATGATGATGATGATGATGATGATGATGATGGAAGTGGTGGTGAGGTTGATGATGATGATGACGATGGTGATGGCTGGTGGTGATTGTGTTCGGTGTGATGATCATAATGCTGCTGCTGATGATGCTGATGATGATGCTGATGAGGATGGTGATGATAGCGATGGTGATGGTGATGGTGATGTTGATGATGATGCTGATGATGATGCTGCTGATGATAAGGTTGATGATGATGAAGATGATGATGATGATGATGATGATGATGCTAATGATGATGAGATGATGATGATGATGATGATGATGATGATGATGATGATGATGATGATTATGATTATGATGATGATGATGATGATGATGATGATGATGATGATGTTGATGATGCTGATGATGCTGATGATGATGATTATGATGATGATGATGATGATGATGATGATGATGATGATGATGATGATGATGATGATGAGCGGGTGGAGGTGGGGCAGGAGGAGGAGGAGGAGGAGGAGGAGGTGGCGGATTAATGTAATGGAGGAGGATGAGGAGGAGGAGGAGTTGCTAGAGTAGGAGGAGCAGGGCGAGGACCATCATAAACCCAAGACCCACCAACGCCGTCGCAATAAACTCTCCCTCCAAGTTACCTCATAGGCCCCTGCAAGGATGTACTTCTACTTGTGGAAGTGCCCCGTTGGAAGTGCCAGCAAGCCGTTCTTCGGAGTTCAACACCGCGATTCAACGTGACCGTTGCGCCCTGACAGTCCTACATGGTGCTAACACACAATTTCTGGGACGGTTGCATTTTTTCAGACGAGTGTGCACGCTGCTAAGGCGGGAGCCACACACTGAAAAGGAACCGCCCGTCATCCATGAAACTCTCGCAAACCTTTCAGACGAATGTGTGCGGCGCTAAGGCGTCATGGCGCCAACATCGTAGAGCAGATTTCGTTCGGAAAACGATAGGGTGGGCCCGGCGTGTCCTGCAGAATTTCGTTCCGGATTTCGAGGTGAGTGTCGTGGTTTTTTTGGGCCAGGAATGAAGACCAAAAAGAGTCCACGCGAAATTCATTGCGTTTTTCGCTCGCCGCTTCGGGCAAGAATCCACGCAGAAATCCACGCAGAAATCCGCTGCAGCACGTCTGCAAGGCCGGTGCAATGACTAAGGCGAGAGCCACATTTTGAAAAGGCATCGTCCTCGATTTGTGAAACTCTTGCACACTTTTACGACGATTGCGCGCAGCGCGAAGACGAGAGCCACATTGTGAAACAAAGGGGCTGCCCTCCATCGGTGATAGCTCTTGCAAAATTTTAGGAAAATGCGCGCGGCGCTGTGGCGAGAGCCACATTTGAAAACGACCCGCCCTCCATCCGTGAAGCTGCTGCACGTTTCAAGCTTCAGGAGCAGAAATGCTGAGGAAGTCTGAGGCGGCCCGCCTGGCCCGCCCTACCGACACGTCTCGGGGTGCCATAGTGAGGCGTTGTTCATGAGAAGAAGTAATGGAGGAAGCGGAGGATCAGGAGGATGTCTGAGACGAGGAGGACGAGCAGGAGGAGGAGGAGGAGGAGGAGGAGGAGGAGGAGGAGGAGGAGGAGGAGGAGGAGGAGGAGGCGGAGGAGCGGAAAACCGCGGTGCCGGGGCCTTGAAACACCGCATCCCAGCGAGCCAGCCGCGCTCCGGGGCCGAGGGCGCCCGCGAGTGAGCCGCGGGCGCGCGATAGGAGGGACCTGCCCTGCCGAGGCCCGGAAGAGCAGAGGACGACGTGGGGCCTCGGGAGCCTGCGGAATGCTTTCCCGTCCGCGCTGGGCCCGACCCCCCTCCTTTTCATGAAGCATAATACAACCCCTAACCTTAGGTCGGGCGTATCCTCCTACACGGTGACTTTGGATGAGCAATGAAAGATAGTCCAAAATTCCCCCCAAATGGTCAAACATGTTAAACCAATCTCCCCAGACTACTTTTTCTATTTTTGAATATTACGCCTGTAGAGGGACAGGCCCGACTTAACACTAACCCCAATATCACAGTCTTCGTGGCCTAACTTAGGTCCATAGTTTTGAGGGTTGTCCGTGAACATATTGGTGGCTTTGCCTGGCACGTCTGCACAGAGACGCCCTGGCCCTGATGTTTTGGGCCCTCCTAACATGGGTCCCCTCCCAGAAGGATTACGCAGGGGTACTTTAATTGCTTATCACCCCCCTTCTCCCCCGGATTTCCGACGTCATGTTTTTTTCATTCCATGCGTTTCTCTAAGATTTCGGCATCTTGGGCACGTTACTGAGCTCCAGGGCCATCAAAAATGGATCAGATCGTAAATCTACCCCCAGTGAAGGGGACGTCGGGCGGGGCTAGGACCGGGATAAGTCGTTCCAGAGCGTTCCAGAACGCTCACGTAGCGTTCCAGAGCACCCTGGAAAGGCCGCGACGCCCAGTGCATCCTCAAGAGCGGCCAGGCCTCAGAGAGATCCCCGATCTGCCCCGGTACGATTTTGTCTTGGTCCTGGCGTCGTCTCGGGACCTTGCTGCCCGCGCGCTGCAAGGAGCCACGTCGCCGGGCGCCTGAGTCCGCGGACGCCCGAGGCCGACGTCCGTGCGCATTTTTTTTCTCCGCCATCCTTGGGCTACACGCAAGAGCGACCCCTCGCCAGAGTGGCCTCTGCTGCGGGCCCTCGGGAGCCCGGAGACTTGTGTCAATGCAAATGATGGGCCTGTTTTCCACAACCACCACCACAAGTTGGAGGGGGAGGGGGTCCTCCTCCTCCTCCTCCTCCTCCTCCTCCTCCTCCACAATTATTCAATATGAAAATACTCTCCCTCTTCCCCTGATGGCGTCCGGGTGATGGCCGCGCACCCTCCGCGTACTGTTTTTTTACACACAGGATGCCCGGGAAATCCCGGGAAACGACTCTCGCTGAGGCGCCGGCGTCATTTTTTCCCAAAATGCTGCTCTCGTTGAGGCGCCGGCCTCATTTCTGCTCCCGAATCGTTCCGAATCGTGCTCCCGCTGCAGCGTGGGCCTCATTTTCGGATCGGTGTTTGGCCTCCGTCGTTCAGGATGGCGTTCTCGCCCCAGCGCGGGCCTCTTTCTCGCGCGCCCATCCGCCCGCCCGCCCGCACGCACCACACCACACCACACCACCACCACCACCCACCCACCACCACCACCCACCCACCCACCACCACCAACACCACCACCACCACCCACCACCACCACACCACCACCACCACCATCACCACCACCACCACCCACCACCACCACCACCACCACCACCACCACCACCACACCACCACCACCACCACCACCACCACCACCACCACCACCACCACCACGACAACCACGCACACACGCACGCACGCACGCACGTGCACCACCACCCACTACGCACGCGCGCGCGGAGCCACAGGTCCGCTACGACACGCGTCCGCGGATAGAGAAAATCAGCGCCATGGTAAGGGATGGGAGGGAGGGGTAGGACGTCAGATATGACGCGAGCGCACCTAGCTTGTCCTCCCCCCCCTCCCCTCCCTCCCTCCCTCCTCCTCCTCCTCCCTCCCTCCCTCCCTCCCTCCCTCCCTCCCTCCCTCCTCCTCCTCCTCCTCCTCCTCCTCCTCCTCCTCCACCTCCTTCCCCCCTCCAACTTATGGTGGTGGTGGTGGAAAACAGGCCCATCATGCAAACGGGGGTCAGCTAGAGCGCCCGATCTTGCAGGATCCTGCAGGGCCAGGGACGCATTGACCCAGGTTTGGGTGCAGGACCCTGCAGGATCTTGCAGGATCCTTCGCGTTGACCCGGGTCTGGGTGCAGGATCTTGCAGGATTCTGCAAGGCCTGACTGACCCGGGTCTGGATTGACCTGGGTCAGGAGATCCCCGAGGCCCGTCGGGGTCCCCCGACCGCCGAACGCGATGCGATGGTGTAGCGTCTTGCGCGCTTGTGTTTGCTTGCCCCGCGGCCCCCCAGAAAGCCGCGCACCAGAGGTCGCTCCTGCCCAGGGTCACTCCTGCGTGCAGCCAACTCCTGCTCACGAGTGCCGCCCCTGGCTTTTCAACTTTTTGCCACCTGCGGCCCTAGCGGCCTCCTCCGCCGGTCCCCCCCCGGTGCCAGAACTGCCCCTGGCCAAGGTGCCCCCCAGGATTCAAAGGAGGCCCCCACGACTTCCAGGGCACCCCTCACGAACGCAGCCACCGGGGCCTTCGGTGGAGCCCCCGATGCGGCCACGAAGCGTGGGAGGGGTCTGCCAAACATGAGGCGGGGCCGCTTGCGAAGGCAGCCCCTGGGGCCTTCGGCGGAGCTCCCGACGCGGGGCCGCGACAGGCTGGGGGCACCCCGGGCCAGGGACACCTCTGGCAATCTCCGAGGCCTGGCCTCCGCATGCTGCCCCTGGGGCCGCGCTGCAGGACCTGGGCGCGCAGTCTCCTGAGAGCCGGAGGGCCCGCGCTGCGACGCCAGCATCGGCACCAGCGTTGTGGAAGTCGATTGAATGGAGAGGAAGCGTGCTGCCAAATAATTCCCAGATGTCCAAAAGATGCTTCGCATATGTTTGAACTATGCTGACCACATGTTTGAAACATATTTAGAACAAGTTTTACACATTTTAGATACATCTTTAATTCAATGATAGACTGTTAGAGAATGCCCCCCTCTTTTTCCAATTGCACTCGCTTGCTTGCTCTTGCGTGCTTGCTCTCGCTTGCTTGCTCTTGCTTGCCCTTGCTTGCTTGCACTTGATTGCTGACTCTTGCTTGCTTATTTTTGCTCGCTTGCGCTTGCTTGCGCTCGCTTGCTTGAGTTTGCCCCTCCCGTCCTGCTCCGGTCCTCCTTTCGTCCTCCTCCCATCCTCCTCTCGTCCTCCTCCTGTCCTCCTATCTATTTGAAGTCAACGCTGGCTGATATTAGTCGAGTTTACAAACCAATGTAGAACGTGCGCAGATGTTCGACGGACATCTCAATTTTGGGGTACGTCGTCGATCTCCTGCTCGAAGCACCGGCGGTCGCCTCCGCACTGTTGCTGGTGCCGGTGGTCATCCCCAGGCCACTGAAGTACTCGAGTGGGCGTTTTCGACCACCGCGAGATCGGGGGTCCTCTTCCCACGGTGGAGGCGGCCGTCTGTCAGCGTTGGTGCGAACCCCTGGGTCCCCGCCCCTCAGGGCTTGACGACTCTTCTCCAACCGACTTGCGGGGATCGACCTAGATAAATCGAGGTAGATAGGGGTTGATCGAGGTGAATCCAGATAGATCGAGGTACATTCAGATAGATCGAGACCTCTTCAAATATATCCAGGTACACCTGGAGCAACCTGGAGCAAATTGTGGAATCTGCCTGGCGAGTCGAGGGGTAGCAGCAGGAGTCGTTAAACCCCTTCCGACCCCAAGAGAAGCTCAGCCTGGCCTCCGAGTGCACCCGCCTTCCCGCACTGCCGCTTGCCTCGCGCCCGCCCGCCCACCTGCGAGCATTCGCGCAAGTGCACGGGCGCGCGCTTACGCGGTTGTGCGCCAGACACTCGCGCAGTACATGAAGCGGGAACGCATTCACAAATAAACATAAACTTCCAGAGGTCCGTGCAGATTTCTCGGATCGGCGCTCGGATCCCCTGGCGGCGCCTCTGGCGCCGCCTCTGGCGCCGCCACTGGCGCACTCCGCGCGCCAGGAGAGTCGGCCGAACGAAAGGGGGGGATAGGGAAAGGGGGGGTTACGAAATCTGCTGCATGCAGCTGGTTTGCCCCGCCGCCGGGCCCATTCCTCGACCCCTCCCGGCGCCGGGAGGCGCCGGGAAAATCAGCTACGTGAGCTGATTCTCTGCCCTATCCTTTGCTATCCCCCCCCTTTCGCTCCCCCCGAGAGAGGAGGGTCCAGCGCCGATCCAAGAAGTCCGCGCGGACCTCCGAGAGCTTCTGTTTACTGTCAACCGTGATGGTAAGGATGGGCAACTTTCCAAAGGGTACCCTTGCATCCTTGCCTCCTCGGTCCATCCTTTGCCGCTTTCGTCGGCCGCGCCCCGCTCGAAAAGCTTCGAGATGGGCGTCCAAGGCCCTTGCATCCTTATCGCGCATCCTTACTATACTGGTTGACTGTATGTCCTCGCTCCTTCCGCTTCCTGGGTGTCCCCCCCCCTCCTGGTGGGGGTGGCGGACGGGTTTGTCCAGCCTCCCCCGCGCGGGAGGCGCCAACTATTTTTACGTCGGGCCTGTCCCTCCTGCAGGAGGAATCTTCAAAAATAGTCAACAACTAGTCTGGGGACGATGTTTCGATGATTCTTGGGGACCTTTGAAGTATTCTCTGACTCAACTTATTCTTAATTTTTCGCCCCGGATCCGCCTGCATGGGGACACGCCCGACCTGAAACGATCCACCCGCGCCCCCCCATGGCCGGGCCAATCCTGGGGCCAGTATCGTGCCGTGCCGCGTGGGGCGCGGTGCCGTCGGCGCGAGGGCGGCAGAGATGCCCAGCGCAACTCTGCAGTGCCAGGAGGAGGAGGGAACAAAAACACACAGACACAAGTGATCGTCGATTCTCCCGAATATATAGGAAAATATGGGAAGTGGGGGGAAGACACAAACACAGAAAATATGGGAAAATATGGGGGATCTGGTTATTTGTGTCCAGTTATTTGTGTGTCCCAGCGCCCCTTCACAGGAGGAGGACGGGGAGGATGGAGCAGGAGGGGGGCCTGGAGGGGTCGCGTTCCGACGCGTGCGCGTGCGCCTGTCATGGATGGCAGCTTACCCGTCCTGAGCGACGCCGTCGGTGTACGGTGCGACGAACGTATGCCGCGAACACCCATGTTTGGCATAGTCCTGCTCCAGGCCGGGAGTGTGCATACACTGATCGCGTGCCAAGGGTTCGCCTGGCCAGGATCGGTGTCCGTAGGTGGATACTTGGCGTCCTCCTACGCGAGTTCGCGCGTCAGGCATCTGCGGGCGGGCATGCTCTTCCTCCAGAGTGATTTTGCCCAACGCCTGTGGACTCTACCAGCACTGCCGCTGCGAAAAGAAGGTGGGAAGCCTCGGTGCTCCAACATGGAGGGCCTCGAATGCCTCCGAGGAGGAGTAGGATGAGGATGGCGAGGACGAGAGTACGCCCACCACCCCTTGATGCTGTAATGTACCCTCACGTATGTATGCATGCATGCATGCATGCATGCATGTATGTATGCATGCATGCATGCATGCATGCATGTATGTATGTATGTATGTATGTATGTAGGTATGTATGTAGGCATGTATGTATGTATATATGCATGCATGTATGTATGTATGTACGCATATGTATGTATGTGTGTATGTATGCATGTATGCATACATGTATGTATGTGTGCATGCATGAACATCTGTCTGTGTGTGAATGCGTGCATGCATGTATGAATGTCTGCATGTATGTATGTATGCATGTATGGATGTATGTATGTATGTATGTATGTATGTATGTATGTGCGTATGTGTGCATGTATGTGTGCATGCATGCATGTATGCGTGTATGCATGTGTATGTATGTATGTCTGTCTGTCTGTCTGTCTGTATGTAGCTATGTAGGTGTGTATGCTTGTACGTATGCATGTATGCATGTAGGTACGCGCGCATGCAAATATGTATGCATTCATGTAGATATGCATGCATGCATGTATGTATGTATGTGTAGGTGTAAGTATGTGTGAATGCATGTATGTATGTACGTATGTGTGTGTACGTACGTACGTATGTGTGCATGTATGTATGTATGCACATCTGTATATGTGTGCATGCGTATAGCCGTATGCATGCACGCACGCATGTACGCATGTATGCATGTATGTATGCATCTACGTACGCATGCATGTATGCACGCATGCATGTATGTATGCATGCATGCATGCGTGTATGTATGTATGCATGTGTGTATACATGGATGCATGCATGTATGCATGCATGCATGATCTGTGATGGTATGTTGTGTTATGTGTGTACGTATGTATGCATGTATGTGTGCATGAATGCATGTAGGTATAACTCTATGGCGGTAGGTAGGTAGGCAGGTAGGGATGTAGGAATGTATGTATGCATGCATGCATGTATGTACGTACGCACGTATGTATATGCGTATGTATGTATGTATGTATGTATGTAGGTATGTATTCATGTATGTGTGTATGTATGTATGTATGTATGTATGTATGTATGTATGTATGCCTGTATGTATGTACGTGTATATGTATGTATATATGCATGTATATTACGTATGCATGTATGTATGTATGTATGTCTACATGCATGTATGCATGCATGCATGTATGTATGTATGCATGCATGCATGCATGCATGCATGTATGTATGTATGTATGTATGCATGTACACATTTACGTATGTATATATGTATGTATGTTTTTACGTATATGTACATACATATACTTATATATAGATATCATCGCCCTGGGGGGGGGGGGGAACATACGAAGCCTGCCGGCGCCCCCGAAGATGCATCCACCAGGCGGCGGCCATGGATACTTCCCCGCCGCGCACCCCAGCTTCTCTCCTATCCTCCGCTGCGTTCAGGTACTCCCTTTCACTGTTCACCACGGCTCCTCCTGCAGTCGTGCGGGGCCAGTGGGCCCGCTGATCGGGCTGGAGCTGTCATGATCCTGCCCGTTCGACCAGCCGTCGGAGGATGAGAAGGAGGCCCGGCGGTGCGCCCAGGGGGGAAGCCGTGGACAAGAGAACATGTCCGTACAGTCAGCCCGCATAGTAAGGATGGGCAACCTACCCAAGGGTACCCTTGCATCCCTGCCTCCTCGGTGCATCCTTGGCCACTTTCGTTGGCCGCGTTGTGCTCGAGAAGCTTCGAGGTGGGTTTCCGATGGCCTCGCGTCTTTATCGCGCGTCCTTACTATACTGGTTGACTGTATGCGCGGCTTCGCGGGCCGGGCCCCCGTGGGCCGCGAGCCCGCGGGTGCGCGTCGGTTCTTCGCGGCTGCGGCGCGCGGCGCGCGTCCGTGCAACTGCGCATCCGCGGGACAGCGCCCCAGAGTCCAGGCCGCGAGGGCGTGGATGTGGATACGCTCCCCGCCTGTGAGGGAGGCAGAGGGCTCAAGAGGCCTCCGCTAGGGGGCCACATGCGAACCTTACCCATACCCCCCACGATTTCTGAACCCCACCCTTCCCCTCAGAAATCGTGGGGGGTACGGGTAGGGTTCGCATGTGGCCCCCTATCAAGAGGCCTCCGCCCTTCTGAGAAGCATCCTGAGCCTTCTCCAAAGCTGCATGGGGGCTGCTCATGGGGCCAGAGGGCTTCTGAGAAGCCCCGAGGCCATCTGGGAAGGCCTGCTCCCTCTTACTTCCCCCCTCGGCGCGCCGCCGACAGGTTTTGAGGGGCTGGGTGCAGCTGTCGGTTTGCGTCTGGCGCCGGGTCGGGTTCGTGGCCGATCTATCTAGCGGTCTCGATCGGAGGTTGGGGTGGTGAGGTCCACGTGGCACGGAGGCAGAGGCACCCAGGCGGGAGATCGGTCTCGGTTTCGGGCCCCTGCCGTGCGTGACCTGCGTGTGGGGGGCTCTTGGTTGGTGGCCGGTCGTGCGAGCGAGGGTTGTTTCGAGCAAGGCGGAGCAGCTGATAGATCATTCCCCGAAGGGGAAGAATTGGGCTTGGAAGATCTGGAGCTCTAATCCACTTATGCCCAGGGGGCTCGTGGGATTCAGGCAGCCTTCTTGGGCCTCTTGCCGGGGCCCTTCCACGAGCCTTCGGAGTCCTTGTGGGGCCATGCCGTCCAAAGAAGAGGGGGCGTGGCTCTGTGGGACCATCCTGGGGCCGTCTTGAGACCCTGCGAGGTTCCGTGACCACCTCGAGCCGCCCTGGTGCTTCTTGAGGCCATTCTGGAGGCTTGGGGTCAGAAACGATGCCCAGACGAGTTGTCCTGATCAGGGTTGCGGAGGAGCATGCAGTGTACTAAAAGGTTGGGTAAGACGTCATACCCCAAGAAGGAGAGGATGGAGGACGAAGAGGAATCGGAGGAGGAGCAGGATGAAGAGGAGGAGGAGGAGGAGGAGCAGGAGGAGGAGGGAGAGGAGGAGGAGGAGGAGGAGGAGGAGGAGGAGGAGGAGGAGGAGGAGGAGGAGCAGGGACAGGGGGACGAGGAGGGGGGAGGAGGAAGGGCTGGCGTGGCTGGTGGTAGGATTATCTTGGTGCATGCCAGGGCCACCTGAGGCTCGTGTGTGCGTCCTAGCACTTTGTGCCCCCCTCCCCCCCCCTTCCTGGAGGGGAAGAGTGGGCTTCGGAGGAGCCGATCCGCCAAACCACCTGCGTGCGCCCAGAGAGAGCTGGCGGGATACCCCCTCCTTGCTGTTCTGGGGCGCCGTGGCGCCAGCGGCTCTGTCTGGCGGGTGAGCTTTGGCGCTCTGCTCGAAAGCCAGGTCCTGCGGCCGAGGCCACCGCGCGGGCGGTGCGGGAAGAGGTCGTGGCAGACGCTGTCGTCGCCAAGGCACTGGCGGAAAGTGGCACCTGGCGGGAGGTCGCCACCATTCAGAAGTGTTTCGAGTCACTGCGCCGCCGCTCTGTTTTCAGAGCAAGGCGTTCCGTCGTGGTTGTGGCCCTTGTCCCCGACGGCGACGTTACGCGGGGGTATGCCTTTTAGGGGGCCTTCCTGGGGCCCACCTGACAGATCTGTTCGACTCTAGTTCGATTCTAGTTCGACCCAAGTTCGACTTTAGCTCGAACCAAACTTGCATCGAGTCAACAGACGTTCGATGCAGCATTGACGCATGAGTGGAGTAAGCGTCTCCACGAAGGTCTCAGAACGAATGTCTAATGCTCTGGCACCTACGTAGAGCCTTACTGCGTTGAGGCCATGACCCCACCAGTCTTTCTGGCTCGACGCCTTCGCCTTCGCCTTCGCTCGCGACGCAGTCGTCGTCGTTGTCGTCGTCGTCGGCGTCGGCGTCGTCGTCGTTGTCCTCGTCCTCGTCCTCGTCGTCCTCATCGTTGTCGTCGTCGTATTTGTCGTGGTCGTGTCGTCTTTGTCGTCGTCTTTGTCGTCTTCGTCGTTGTCGTTGGCGTCGGCGTCGGCGCCGGCGCCGGCGTCGGCATCGACGTCGGCGTCGTCGTCGTTGTCGTCGTCTGTTGTGGTTGTCTGTTGTCGTCTGTTGTCGTCTGTTGTCGTCGTCGTCGTCGATGTCGGGGTTGCCGTCGTCGCCGCCGTCGTCGTCGGGAGCGTGTAATCCCTTACACATCTTCTGGCTCATGCCCTGGATGAATATTTCGCCGTTTTGGAGAAGCAGCTCAACGTAGACCAGGAGGTTGGAGGCACAGCGAGAATCTTGCAGCACTACTGTTGACAGAAGCCAGTCGAGGTCAGATGCTGCCGTTTTTCCCCGGACTGAGACCGCGATCTGGCCAAAGCAATCATTGACAGGGACGCGATCACTCAGCGGTTCAAATCTGCAGCGCTTCCATTTTCGGGCCACGGTTACGTGGGAGTGGAAATTCGATGTATGGCTGGCCATTGCCGCTGAATACCTTAGGGCGATGCGAATGCTGCAGTTCCACATCGAGCGACCTTTAGTGCCAAAGAGTTTCACATGGCATGGAACTCGTTTCTAATGCCCAGTGTCAATACGCTCGCATGACACGTGTACTTATGTGCGACTGCGTTTACGATGCCCATGGAAGTGATTGGCTTCCATGGGTGGCTTCAGCATGCTGTGGTGAAGGCGACGTGTACGCATACCGGCATGGCGGGAGACCTCCGACGGAGGCAAGAGGCTGCCGCTCGGCGCCCCCCCGACAAGGACACCAAGCGAATTGCTCACTCCGAGCTTCTCTTAGTCGAGGCTCCGTGGCACGTTTGCCTTGGGACTGGCGGGCGCGACGCTGCTGTGGCTGGGCTGCCATCGTTGCCACCGCTGCCGCCGTTGCCGCCGCGGTCGTCGTCGTCGTCGTTGTCGTCGTCGTCGTCGTCGTCGGTGTCGTCGTCGTCGTCGCCGTTAGGCGGCGAGACCGGGGGGGCAGTGAGAAGGAGAAGGCCTTCTCAGAAGGCTCCGAAGTCCCTCGGCCTGTCTGAGAAGTGTTC